GGGGGGGGAATGCAGTTCACAGTAGAAACTTTTGGAAATGCCGCTTTGAGTACGACTTGGGTCACAACTTAATGACCAAGGACAAATATGGGTCCTGAGGTCACACAGGTTGAGAACCACTGACATAGACATATATATTGTTCAAATCTACCATGAAGACGAGCTGTCTGTGTTTGTGCAATACTTTTAACCCCTTCATGACCAGTGAGGTACAGTGTATGTCTTGCATCGGGGCTGTTTAAACAGTCAAAGCCACCAGGACTCTGTTTAAACTTGTAAAGCCGAGGTCGGCTTTACAGTAGAAGCGATTCTGGCGGCTCAGCTGCCACCAGATCGCTTCTACAGGCTGGTAAACAGGTTTTTAACCTCATCTTTTATATTAAATTTTTTTTTAAAATGGGTATTTTATTGTGTTTTGGGGCATTTTAAGTGCAATTTTCACTAAATTTTGGGGTATGATAAGTAGTTGCGCTAATATCGTGTAACATAAAAATTTGCAACTGCCGCCATTGTATTCTAAAGAGTCTTGGCTTTCAGAAAATATATAATGTAATATATTACGTAATTTTCAGGCCTACAATGTGGATTATAACATGTCAACAAAAGATGAAAAAAAAGGCCTCAGTCATGAAGGGGTTAAAGAGTGCCATAACTGAGAAAAGGTTGTTGTGAAACATTGTTCTAAATGCAGCACTGACAGTAGTAATGGGCTGGTGGCTTATCGTGTGAGAAAATGAACTATGCATTTTCTCTTATCACTATATTGGAGAGGAGAAGTCGCGGCAGCGCTGGTGATTACTACTCTAAGCTGATTTCTTTTTCTCTAGGAAGAAAAATAAGGTAATATAGTTCAATATTGTCTTGTAAATAACATGTTGAAATGTGACCGCATAATGTGAATATATTATTGGATGGTATTGTCTACTTTATATATTTACTATGGAACATGAACCACGGGATGAATCGCCCTACGGGTTATCTCGCTAAACTCTCTGTCCGCGAAGACAGTGACAACCCTTCTGGACACAATTCCAGTCCTCAAGAAACGGGTCATGTTTTCGAATTTTTCTCAGTGAGAATAGCTGCAAACATAAATAGTCCAATGAGAGACTAACAGGGTTATTTACAAAAGAGTGAAGAGTTTGGAGAAGGCAGGAGAAGTGAACAATCTAGGACAACATAGCTGTAGCTCGCGGTATACTGAGCTTTGGGTGACGGGAGAACGCTAGTTTGTGTCCTCCCGTGACCCTTAGGAGAACTATGGGGAAAATCCCTGACCCCATAGTTCTCCTTTAAACTTCCATCCCTCTCTACCCATGTGACATTGATCAGAACTGGCTACTCAGGCATCAAGTACTGCATTTTGATAGGCAGCTGAGGGGTGGTAATGTATTTTTGTGAGTTCTCTAGTGGCAGATCAGGGATGTTGGGGATTGTGGGGTAGGTAGGGCAGGGGTGTGGAATTTTTTTTTAAAAACTACTTGGCGGGGGCCCAATCTACTTGTCCCTCATGACAATCTACTAATTTTAACCATGCTAAGAAGTGCTTCTCATTGGTCAGGTGACGGCGCTGACCAATGAGTGCGAGCAAAATTCATAGCACAGGACTGCACTGGATGGCAGTAAGGCCTTGTTCACACCAAGCGCGGAGCAGATCCAGAGCAGGTGCAGACCGGATCAAAACTGCATCCAATGTATTCCTATGGTATTTTGACCTCCAGTTCACATTGCAGCGTGCAGATCCAGAGCAGGTGAAAAAACTGCGGCAAGCCCTATTTTACCTGCTCTGGAACGCATCAAAAACGCATGCAAGTGCCTGAAAGCCCATGTTAAACTTAAAAAAAATATATATATTTTTTTTTTAACCAAAACTGGCCCGAAACGCATCAAAAACGCGGCACAACCCACTGCACTGCGTGTGCAGAAACCTGACCGCATCTGCTCTGCATTTGGTGTGAACAAGGCCTCAGGGAAGGATCTTTCTCCGAAAGGTAAATATAGCGGGGGGAGAGGGGGCCAGGTTTAAGCTGGTAATTCCATTTTTTTCAAGTTACTTGGTAAAGTGAACTCTCCCTTTAATGTACATTGTGCATGTAAGAGAGCGCTACCCAGTGATGCCCGGCTACCACAATATGGCGCACACACTGAAATGGGAGCAGCGCTCGGCGCGCACACACACACAACTCCCTATGTGTGCATTTATTTACGCTGTCCACCCTGAAGTCCATTTGTTGTGGTCCCGGGTCCCCCAGAAGTGTGGGGGACCCTTAAAAATCATGGTGAGGGAGCAAGCAGGCTGCTACAAGTGATGTGGGTGGCTTACAGTTCTACATTTAGCCCTGCTTGCCTGCAGCGGGGCACAGTGTAAAGGGGGAAAAAAACCTGCCCGGAACTGTCTGTTGGGCAATAGGACTCGGGCACCCCTGTAGGGTAAGGCATCTTATAATACCCGTCACTTGACTTGGTACTGGACATAGAGGAAATTTACTCTGAAGCACAGGAAATGCTGTGCTTAGTGGATATACAATGTTCTATTGTGGCCAGTAATATGTCAGGAATTTGCATGGGCTGTATATTTACTCCATGCCTAGTACACAGCTCCTTTATCAGCCTTCTCTTTTCATATAAATGCCGCTCCAGAAGCTTTCTACTCTCCTGTAAGACTTTTTTTTTTTTTTTAATTTTTTTTATCTTGTCTTGAAAAGTGTTGTTCTTAAGCTGAAACATGAATTTATGATTATTTTTAGTTATATCTTCTCTATAACTGAAAGTGTCTGTTTTTAATAGCAACATGATTTGTTTCTTTTTGCTTTGCTGGAACAGGGTAAATGGTTCAGTAAAGCGTTTTGGGATAATGCAGTACATTTTAAAAAGGTCACGTCATGTTTGTGCTGATTTTAGATTTGTTTCCACTAACCGTATAACCACATCAAATAAACCCTCGCTCTATCCCTTGTCCTTTTTTAGTGCGTTTTCGCTTTTCTTATTCAGCAGAGCATCTCAGGGTGTGTTTGCTCTCTGTTCTGTCTTTCAGTGTTATTTAGTGAAGCATTTCGCTACTCTTCTAAGTGGCATCCTTCTCGCTCTGTATTTATGTCGCTGCTGGAAATTGCCATAAAAATGCTAAAGAAAGGTCTCTTCAGTGTTTGCTGCTAAAGCTTTTATAAAGGTTGAGCTTTGGCACAATGTATTCTGTATTTGAATTCATGGTTATTTTGGATGATGGGTTCCGGGATTTGAAAGGAATCATTTTGTTTCGCATCAAAGCAGTATTATAGCAAAATGCAATTCACTATTGTGCTGTCTCCAAAATATGGTTATTTTACTAACATATATACACTGCACATTTTTTATAATTTTTTTTTCTAATGTTCGTTGATCAGGCCCTGTCTGTATTGTTATTTAAAGCAGACCTTTTCCTATAAACGTGACTACACTAATGGAATCTTTGTACTACAACTAGGGATGCATCAATTCAATACCATTTCTTTTTTCCCCACCTCGATTCTCGCAGATCCTTCTGCACCGCTATATCAGCCAGAAAATGGCACTTTCGGCATTATTCCAAAAGTGCCATTTTCAGCCGATATGCTTCGGCGGCCGATTATATTGGTGCATCCCTAGTTTATACGTTGCAAGGTGAGCGTTCTCACGCCAGTGGACACTGACGTGCTGAATCCATAGCAATGGTTAAATAAAGAAAAAAATGGCCTTTACCCCAAAGTCTCAGCAGATTTTACACTGAACAGATGAGATCTCCCTGGAAGGCACTGGTGACCTGTGAGGGGTCACCTGTGAGGTCCTGGCCTTGTCACTGTTGCCTCAATATACCAGGAAGTGGAAATAATGAGATTGTAAGTAACAAAATAAATCTATTGTGAAACAAATTACTTTAAGGTGTTGTTTTTTTTGTTGAAATTTGCATGCAGAGCTTCACACACCATGGATGTTTTTTAGTGTTTGGGGTGGGGTACTAGGGAAGCAGGTCTGACCAAACATCTCCCCAACTCAAACAAATGGCTTAGCACATGGTTGCAGTGCAGTAGCTCAAACTATGACCTGCAGCAGGCTATATCTACTGCCATTGAGTCTCTTGAGATTGAAAAAATACTGTCCCAATATACAAATCTTGTAAATGTAATTATAAAAGTAAAGTCTAGTTTTGTTCAGAAGGTAGGTCCTTGATTCTTTTTTGCACTGCAGCTATTGAGGTTGGTTGCTCCCAGCTTGTAGCTGCTGAAATGTTGGGAAATATTTGTAAATGACTGCTAAATGGAAGTTCCCAACTTGGTCCAGTCCTAATATTGTAAGAAGAGATCTGCTTTCACCATTCAGGGCTGGTTCACATCTTTGTGCTTGCAGTTGTGCAAAATTCTGGTATTTCCATGTGTTTATATACATAGACTTAGTATAGACTTATGACTGGTTGGTTGATTTTTTGGTTTGTTTGTTTTGGATAGAGGAGTAGATTCAAAATTTCTGTTAGGTTTTTATTTCTGCCTGTGACTCCATGTAATACCAATTCAAGGTCCTTTTTTTGATTGCTATGCTCTCTGTCTTAGTGATTGTTTGCAGACTTCTTTTGGCTGAAGTGTTGGTCAGCGGACAAGACCGCCAAGATACTCCTGACAAAACTCAGAAGGGTGATCACCTATTTGGTGTGACATCATCAAAAAAAAGTAAACCTTGCTGCAAACAGGCGGCAGTGTAGGTGTACTTGACTGAAGGGAGTTGCTTAGTGTGTTTCCATCCCTTGGTAGACTAAGCTTTGGAACATTGCAACGGTCAAGATCTTCTAGATCTCTGCTGTGTCCTTCAATGGAATGGAAGAGAAAATCGGGTTTTGGTACTTGCCATAAAATCATTTTCTCTTCATTGAAAGACACGATGCCCACCCCTCCGGTGGTTAGGTCTGTGACATACAGTATGCAGTGCTTTGTGACTAACTGAGCTGCCTCTAGCAAATTGGGGATTTGACCACCAGCAAGGGCCCCCTTCTAAGCTGTGTTTTTGTTTTTTGTGTCTAGTGTCCTAATTCTGTAGGCGGTGGTATAACCCCAACAGTCCATATCTTTTAGATTATTGTTGTGTCCTTTTAAAAAAAAAAAGTACAAAAATCCTAGTTAACCTGGCAAGAAAACAAACGGCAACAACTCTGGCAGAGTATCTAACCCTTCCACACTGCCAAAAAGAAAAGCCTTGACCGATATAAAAGACACACAAGAATGCAGCTCTGTAATTAAATGCAAGCAGCATAATTAATGTAATTTATTTTTATTGTGTTACGGTTTGAATGGAGCTTTGCTCTAAGCAGTTGGTAATATGTCAACATTAAATAAATACTGGGAATAATGTTTCGACAGCAGTGAATTGTTCTAAGTTTGCTGTCAAATTGGTAAAAACCCCTTAATGTCAAAGCAATTTCTTTCAACAGAGTTATTTTGTTCTCTTTCAGAGATGCACTGCGTAACATTGTTATCTGCAATGATGTTTCATTGCGAAGCCAGCCTGTTATCTACAATCCAGACTTTTTTGTGGAGAAGCTTCGGCATGAGAATCCGGAGGTGTTTACCGAGCTGGTGGTCAGTAATATTACAAGATTAATTGATCTGCCTGGTACAGAGTTAGCTCAGTTGATGGGTGAGGTGGAACCAAAACTTCCTGGACAGGGCGGAACAGCCTCCTTCTTCAAGTCCCTCAATTTTCTCAAACGTAAAGGTTAGTTTTTCCTGCAGCTGCTCAAAACTGGCTTTCCCATTCTAAACACATACAAAACTGTAATTTGTTAGAGGGTTCAAGGAGACCCCCAAAACCTAGGTGCACTACACGTAAACAAATTTATTGACATCTCGGGGTTCCCTCTTGTGCTTTAAACATGATGAACTGGCTTTTAGGGGGAAAGAGGGGCAGACCAGGGCTTGTCCCTTGGAGCTCTTGTCGAAATATGTAGACCACCCTAAGGATTTGTGGATTTTGGGGCCTGTTTGCCATGAAGGTGCCATTAATATTTTTAAGTATACGTATGCCTAATCCCTAAAACTGTATAAAATCTTTAACCTGTTAATGGCATTTCAAAACGTCACTTTCCATCTGTTTTTTAAATCGGCACATTTGTTAACATAATACCTGATATACCTGCCATAAGGGATCTTCAGGCACTTCCTGATCTAGGGTGACAACATTCTCTCCCTTCCTCCCAATTGTTCTTGTGTTTTCATCCTGTCGCATGCTTCTAGTGGCTGTGCACTCATGGTGCTGGCATATTCTGCTGTTGTTGCCATCAGTAAACCCACCCTGAGGAACGCCTTGCAGCTCTTACTGAAGTGCATGTAGATGGGAAATGGCTGCAAAGAGGTTGTAGGATCAATAGCACTGAGGTGCACAAAAGGAATAAGCTGGTAAGAGTATTTTCTAAATACAATATATGATACACAGTACTTTAGTCATCCGGTTAGGGTTTCACATCTACTTGGGGTAAAAAAGGAAAGCAAAATAATCTTTTAATATTCACCTGTAGCATTGGGGAACATATGCTGTATAGCAGGAAATCGGGGAAGCTAGATTTATTATTAATAATTATAATATATTTAATTCCACCCGTCAGCACGGTTTAAAGTCTATCTAAAGACAAAACTTTTTTTAATCATTTAGGATAGAGAAAGGATATTTTATCTAGGTGAGGGAAAGATATCCAGAAATTTAGCGCAGTGACTTTGTCTTGCGATCCAGAAACAATTGTCCCCATTGGAAGATTTTTCTATTCCTTTTCTGGTGGCAACCTAAACTTTTTGATTTATCCTCACTTTCATGCTCGGTGACTTTAGTGATCAGGGCTATTGGAGTGAGTGAATCTCCTAACCGGGACAACGGTTCCCACTCCTCACCTCTATCCAAAAAAAGTTACCTTTCTTTATACTTAAAGGGATATTAAAGCCAAATGTATTTTTCATTTCTCCTTTAAGGGGACCCTCCTTTGCTGGAGGCTGTTTAAAAAAAAAAAGTACTTATTTTCTAGTGTGTCCCCGCCATGCTCTTTCCTTCGCCCCATGCACGGGTGCCACCATCATTCTAATGGAGGCACCCGTGCACACTCGTCCCCGCAGCGGCTGTGTGCGTTCATAGACACACACAGCCATGTGGCAGGCCACGCCCCTTCCTTTGATTGAGCCTATGGCTCCTCTGCCATCAGTATCCTCCCCCGCAACCCGGAGGTTCGGGGTACGGAGGATCACTTCGGGACCGGCGGCGGGGACGAGCGCAGCTGAGAGGTAAGTGTGGGGGGGACTGGGGTTAAAAAAAAGGTCCTGGGCTGTTTTTACATTAATGCAGACAATGCATTAAGGTAAAAAACGCCCAGACCTTAATACTACTTTAAACTGAATGATCTTTAACTGGTGGCTTCAGCTCATGCAGTGAGCGTTAAAAGAGCAATGCATGATGTCCCTGAAGACTTTGCTTTCTAAGAATTGGAATTATAAGAACTAAATATAGAATATAGAACTAAAAGGATACAAATGAAATGGAATAAGTGCACGTTCTGAGGAACTGACTGTAAATAACGGTAATCTATACAAATTCTAACTGTATACAGGTTAATACAAGTTTGCTGAAATGCACTGAAGTTCTGAACGTTAACCCGACCCCCACTCAAGCCAATGGGAAGTCAAATCTTTATAGAGGAACTCTGGTTAAAAATGTAATTAACCATTGCAGTTCAGCTACCCCCATAATGCAAGGGTTAAGTGCTTGTTTTTGTCTACGTGCCAAAAAAAAAAAGTTATACTCCTCAGACCATCTGAGCCGCCTGCCTGCTTTTGTGATCACTGAAGCATGTCTACTCCTCCGTTGCACAGATGGAATGCTCCTTGAAGTCCTCACATCTATACACAGTCTATGCACATTAGATAGAGCGTGATGACACAAGGATCCTTAGGCCCCATTCACACCAGGTGCGGATCAGCGCGATTTTTAAAAAGGCGGTTGTGGGCGTTTTGAATTCATTTCAGAGCTGAAACGCAATTCGGGCAGGAGGCGGTTCGGATCGGTCACCATGGCAATATATGGGATCGCTCATGTCGGTGGATCCGCGCGGCAGAACCTCTCTGGTGTGAGCAGAGCCTTGGACTGCAGCAGCATAGGGGGAGAGATGCACGAGACTTGGAACAAGCCAGCTTGGGTGGCAGCCCAGCTTCCTGGTTGGTCAGAAAGCCAGGCTGCCTTGCAGTGTCCAGAGGGAGCGTGAAGCCGGTCCCTGATTGGTCGGGAAGCCAGGCCCGCGTTACCTCGGGATGCAGATATCGGTACTCTGTATTGGCGATTTGCAGCATTGTTATATCTCGCCATCCTCGTGTCCTATGCTCTGTGTGTAGAACGAGATGTCTCTGGGACCTTAGACTGCTGTAGTGGAGGGAGCGTGGGGTGAGGCTGAAGGGACCAGTCTGAGTTGGCGGGCTTGGAGGATTTACGTTTTTTTTTTTTTTTTTTAACCCATAAAAAAATGAGCAGGTAACCCTTACAAGGCAGGGATAGCCCCTCTTCAAGGATTAATAAAATTCGTGCCCAGAGTTCTGCTTTAAACCACCTGCTACTTTTGGCTAAATAATGCATTATTTAGAGGCTAGTTGGTTTGATCTGTCATGCTTAGATTTTTTTTTTTCAGAATCTGTGTACATGACTTAGCTATCTAGTTTGCATGCAAGCAAAATTTAGATTATGTGAAATGCCTAAAGCTTAATTTTACTCATCTATGAGCCATTAAAACTGCAAATGTATATTAAGCCTGAATTACAGAATGCGGAATTCTCATGGACTTTGTGCCAGTGTGTAGTTGTTTTTCATTTGAAAGTACATCAAAGACTACGACATTCTTCACCTTTTTTTTTATAGAGCAAATGTATTGGAGAAAATGCTATTTATTACCAGAGCTTTTCGTGTTCTCTTATTCTTCTAGACAAAGGCATAGTGTTTGGAGCACCTTTGACAGAAGAAGGCATTGCACAAATATACCAGCTTATTGAGTACCTACATAAACGTAAGTGTCTAAGAATTTCATCTATTCTGCTGTGAATTGTTTGTGTGTGTGTATTGCTGCAAACCTTTTCACCCCATAGGCCTTTTATGTAATGAAAACTATAGTCAACATATTTTGAGTTACTGTAACATATACTGTACTTGAAAATATTTTTTGACAGGACTTTACATTTCTTTTACTTGAGGTTAAAGCGTATCCCCAGTCAAAACTTTTTTTTCTTGATACAGTGGCCATGGATTGGAGCTAGGGATGCACCAAAACTTCAGCCGCCAAAACATTTTGGCTGAAAATGGTACTTTGAGTAAAATTCCAAAAGTACCATAACTGCCAAAAATTCGGTGCATCCTGACTGATTCTCTCCTCCACTCTGGGCACCGGTCTATGTCCCCTCCAATGCCCACTGCTCTCCTCCGCCCGTGTCGACAGGGTCCAAGGGGACTCAGACTGGTGCCCAGTTGGGAGGAGAGAAGGTTTCAGGAGGCCGAGCAGGGCGGTGCGGTTTGGAGATAGTTGTCACTGGAGGCAGAGCTCTCCTCCCATACTGGCCCGCTTGGCTCCTGTGACAGGCAGAGAATCAGGATGGAGAGTGGGAGCAGTGAGCTGTCAGGAGGCAGAGCTCTCCTTGCGCACCATCCAGCTCAGCCTCCTGTGACAGGATGTGTCAAGATGGAGAGCGGAGTACAAACAGACCACTGAGTGTTTGTAAATAACTGAGGACATAGTATGCTTGCTGTGTCCCCAGTTATGAATGAACAGGAAGTGCTCTACATCACTTCATACATGATTGTGGACATGGTAACCGATACTATATCTACAGTTTATGAATGGACAGGAACACTCAGTATAGAAGCTTCCTGATTCATAACAGGGGCTGCAGAAAGAGATTTAGGACTCTATTTCCCTTTTTAAAATAGAAAAAGATTGAGGGCACAATCAGTCTGTTGTATGTCTGTTTAGACCCCTGATATTTCCCCAGAGCCCCCGACAGTAAAGTTAATAAATAAATAAAATAATGTTTAAAGGTTGGGGGGAAAAAAAAAAGTAATGTTGTGTTTCCGCCTGACAAATTTTATTATGATTTTTTTTTTTTTTTTTAATTTTTTATGCATAGAACATGTTTTTTGTTTTTTTTTTGTTTGTTTATGTACAAATATACAAAAGCAGAAACAAAATAGTGGAACAGTACAAGAAATTTACATGGTTGTAGAGAGTTGGACAAAAAACAAGTCCCCAGTAAGGTCCATTGGTTTCCCCAACCCATTTGGCTACTTTGACTCCAACTCTGGTCAAAAAACATATGTAGAAACCAGAAAATTCTCCAAATGTACTCACTTCCCAGCTCAGCTATGTTGTCCCAGATTGTTCACATCGCCTGCCTTCTCCAAACTCTTCATCCTTCCGTGGATAACCCTGTTAGATAACCGTATTTAATATACAAATATACCATTACTTTCTAAATCATTTAAAGTCACTCTTCATATGGATCACCCGGACATGTCAATTTTAGGCTTCTAACATTTGCAGGCTGACTCTTTAACTTATCTGAACCCCTAAACCTAATTTTCAGTGGTACCCTAACCCCCGAACTTAAATGTAAACCCAATTACTACAATCTCATAATCTTTACGATGTGGCTATGCTGATGCTCATTGGGCAGGTATGTTCTGTTGTCACCAATACGAATCTTCCCATAGCATTTGTTTGCAGCTGGAGCACGGGCAAAGACTGGACATTGTTGCATCTCAGTGCTGCTAATTAGGTATGAGCTCAGGTTTGGACTGAATAAGGAAGTGCCATTGGCAATAACACCCAATCAGCTGCAGGCCGGGCATTCCCCACCCCACAGTTGCCTGTAAACAAAGGGGCAGGGTGCTTGTACTGGCATCATTTACCTTTTTATATGGCCACATAGGGCAGCACGGAAAGAACTTCCTTACGTGTTCAGGAGGAGCTCTTACCGGGTTCAGAGGAGCTCGGGTTGAGACCAAGTAAACCTGAGCTCATCCCTTATGCTAATCTCCTGCAGCTAAGGATTTGACCAGTTGACATCCTCAGTGTTAAACCCCCTTCCCATGCAGGCCATTTTTCAGTATTCAGCGCTGCGGTACTTTAACTGACATTTATTCCGTCATGCAGCGCTGTACTGAAATGAATTTTATACCCTTTTTTGGGGGACAGATAGAGCTTTCTTTTGGTGGTATTTATTCACCACTGGGGTTTTTATTTTTTTTACTATATTAAGGAAAAATTACCGAAATTTAAAAAAAAAAAACTGTTTCCCCTATATTAAATGATAAAACATTTATTATTACCCAATTTTTTGGTAAAATATAAAAGACGGGGTCACGTCGGGTAAAAAGACACCAAACATGTCAAGCCTTAAAATTGTGTGCGCGCGCGAAACCTCAAAAAACGATAATACCCAAAATTGGCCATAGGTGACGCTTTAAAAGCTGTTACCGCTCATCAGTTTAGTGTTATCAGTGATTGATGGCCCTAAAATGATTGCTCTCACTGCGACGTTCGCGGCGATATGTAACATGTGTAGCGCAATTGTAATTTTTGCGCGCTGGGGCACCGGATGCGTATTTACGTTTATAGGAGCGTAAACGTGGGGGTGGGGGGAGTTAAACATTTTGGGGGTTTTTTTCCACTTTTTTTTATGTGACTTTTATTTTATTTCGTGTTCAGGAGGAGCTCTTACCACATGCGCTATCCCCCATGTGATGTCAATGAAGTAAAAAAAAAAATTAGTTAAAAAATTAAGATAAATTTAAAAATACCCCCAAAATTTTTTTTAGTCCTCGCAAACATGCGCATACGAACACAAACACGCGTCAGGTGCTCCTGCATATAACAACTATTGCGCCACGTGTGCCAGCGTGAGAGCCAATATTCACAGTTAAATCTAAACTGATCATTTGAAGTGCCACCTATGGACAATTTAGGGTACCATATCTTTTTTTTCATGGCACTGGCAAGCTGTGTATCTATTTACTCTGCACAACCTCATGTTTGATATTTTATAAAGAAATATTTATATTCTATTGGGAAATCAAATATAAATAGACCCCGCATCAGATGCGTGATAGCAGCAACACTGAAATAATATGATAATGTTGAAAATAAAAGGATTGTGTCGCGTCATTTCATTAATATATTATATTGTGATTTTGTGCACTAAAATTAACTTACGTGATGGGCTTGATAAAGAAGTGCGCTAATATTATGTAATAGGGATGTCCCGATACCACTTTTTCAAGACCAAGTACAAGTACTGCCCCTCAGGTACTTGCCGATACCAATTACCGATACTTTTTCTTAAAGGGACATGTGACCTTTTATTCTAAAACAACACAGACTGATGATTTTAGGGCAGTTTCTTTATAATTTTTAAGAATTGTAACTCAATCCATGATTATACAGCAACACGCAATAGAGGACTACAGATCCCATCACTCCATGATTATACAGCAAATATATATGGCTGTGTGTGGTCTCATATGGGATGCATTTGGGTCTCACCAGGGCTGCACACTAGGGCCCTGCGATCTAGAAGCTTGTTAAGATCTGGGGGCTGAAGAAGAAAGAACAGCCAGGGGAGGCTCTAATGGTGGCTGTTGAATAGGATGGCAGCATAAGTCATTGTCACAGTGCTGGGAGACCTGCTGCGGTGCAAAGGAGCTGTGACAGACAGGGAAGCTTCCCGGCTTATGCAGCATCCTTGAGGGCCCGGCGGTAGTGTGTGTGGGCTGTAGTGCATAGGCTCACCTGTAGCTGGCGGCGGAGATCCGGAGTGGCTGTCAGTTGAGCGGCTTGGCGAGCAGGCAGCTGGAGACTCAGCCAAGGAGTCCAGGGACGGATCTGCAAGTCGAGACGAGCGGGAGTCCCAGGCGGCCATGTGGAGTGCGGGCAGAGGAAGGTTAAGGCTGCACGCGCACTCATCCCGGCATCCGGCTACGCCCCCTCCGCCTTTTTCGTTTAAAAAAAATGTAAAGTGCCGGCATCGGCCTTAAGTACCAGGGCATTTTCACGAGTACAATTACTCATGAAAATGCCCTGTATCGGGCCCGATACCGATTCTAGCATCGGTATCGGGACATCACTATTATGTAACATAAATTGCAACTGCCACCATTTTATACTACAGGGTCTGTGCTTTCAGGAAATATTTAATTCTGGGGGTTTAAGTAATTTATAGTCCTAAAATATGGATTATTACATGTGTGCAAAAAAAAGCTCTAGCAGCGAATGAGTTAAACCCCAATTCATTTGATCTCAGATTGTGACTGCTTGTCTTCTTCAGGGACCTTTTAGAGCAAACCAATTCTTAGTTTATATAGTCACATTTGATATAATTATACATCGTAGTCACATCCCTCCCCCTTAAACGCCACTTCTCCAGAGTGAATAAATGTAATTTCTGTAATTGTTTCTCAAAACTCTTCCTAGTTCAATGACCTCGTTCCTGCATATTGCACTGTTTTAGAATTTTTGTTTTCAGAACTGAACCCCTTGCATGTGTTTCCTCATTGCACTCTAATAGATTTGCGCACAGAAGGGTTATTCCGTATCCCCGGGAACAGCAATCGGCAGCAAATTCTCAAAGACTGTCTCAATGGTGGAACGGATATTGATGTGGATTCTGGTGAATTTCACCCTAATGATGTTGCCACAATACTGAAAATGTTCCTGGGAGAATTGCCGGAGCCTCTTCTGACAAAAAGGCATTATCACGCTCATTTAAAGATTGCAGGTAAAATGAGCTGTCATTTCAGTATGCAGCAAAACCCTTTTAGGCCATTGTGAATGTTCCTGCAATTGGAATTGGCTATTATTATTATTATTATAATACAGGATTTATATAGCGCCAACAGTTTGCGCAGAGCTTTACAATATAGGGAAGACATAATTACAATATAATTCAAGACAAGATGGTAAGGAGGGCCCTGCCCACGAGGGCTTACAATCTAAGAGGGAGGGGCGAGATAAAAAAACATTTTTGTGTTTCTCTTTGCAACAAAAGTTGCTGTACTACAATAAGAAATAGAAAGTAAGACTTTACAGGAAATCCTGTCGGTAGATAAAATTGCCTAAACCAGCATGAGGGATAAGATACAGGTGCTTCTCAGTAACACCAAACCACTCTGTATTGTAATATGCAGATATTGAATTTTGCAAGAAAATTTTAATATTGGCCACCCCCTCCCACAACTCCCTACTTGTGAAGGAGGACGACCTTCACATGACCAAAAACAATTCGGTCTGTAAATCTCGGAGACGTACTCTGATGCCATAACTAATTAATAAAAAACAATTTTTTGTCTCCGACAAGATACCACTTGGTCCCTCTCAGACCCCATTCACACGTAGCGACATACCTTTTGCAGCGGATCCGCACGGCCGGGATAGCGCGACTTTCGGGGCGACGTTCCAGCGACGGTAGCGCGACCTTCTCCGTCGGGCTCCATAGAAAAAAGGCAAAATCGCGCAAAATCCGCCGAAAAAAGGGTCCGGTAGAAGCGACATGGAGTTAAGACAGCTCCATTGAATAGCATTGGCCGGCGGCTTCTCGCGATATCGCGCGGCAAAAATGCGCGATATCGCAGGCCGGAAATCGCGCGATAATTCGCTACATGTGAACGGGGCCTCAAGGTCTGCTCTGCTCTAACATCTTTCACCACAAACAGGCTTAATCATAGAGGTCCATAAGGTATTACTCGAGAAGGCATACCAGCCCTTGATTTTCACTACAAAAGCCAAAATTTGAATATTGCATCACCTTGGGGCTTCTTAAGCACTGAGAAGATGTTAAAGGGTTTCTAAACCCTCAGCTTTTTTTGCATAGATCTACTGCTAGCGAGCAGTGGATCTATGCAAAAAGTAAAAAAAAAAACGCTTTAACAGCAGTTTAAACTTACCTGTATCTTCCCTGCGTGCTCCCTTCCGAAAATGTGAAACCGCTCGGGTGGCCGCAAAGCATCTTGAGGCATGCGCAGTTCACATTTTCGGCCGGGACTCGAGGAGAGGCTATGGACGCGTGCACCCACATGCAGACACTGTGGGAGAGGAAGCGCCAGCAATCAGAGGAGTCAGCGCTGGATCGGAGACTTGCCGCAGCGCTGGAGAGAAGGCTGAAAACTACAGGAAAGAAGATAATCGGATTAAGAGACATCATTTAAGGTAAGTGCTTTCATGAACGTTGTGTTGAGGCAAAAACATTTTTGCCTTTTAATGTCACTTTAAGTAATGAATTCCATTTATGATGCCCATTTTGTTTTTTTATGACATTTAAACAAAGCTAGAACTTCTACCCCTATACATATATAAACTGAGATTCTTCAAATGGTGTGGGTTTGGCAAAATGAAATCAACATGTTTACTAAATAAAAAGTGACAAATTCTTTAACTTTTCACAGACCTAATGCTTTTTGATGACAAGGGATACCGGACGGGGACTCCCGATAAGGAAAGACAAATGGAGGCTCTGCAGCTCCTATTCCTGTTGCTTCCGTCCCCCAACAGGAATCTTCTCAAACTGCTGTTGGATCTACTGTATCAAACTGCAAAGAAACAGGACCGCAACAAGATGTCCGCCCACAACTTGGCTCTGATGTTTGCCCCACACATCATATGGCCTAAGAATGTAAGTGTCATACACAAGCACATATGTTGGGAGGTATGTCTCACCACTCAAGCTGCTGTTGTGATGGATATTGGCCACGTTTCTGGCAGGAAAAAATGTACGAGATTTATTTGCAGAGACAGCTCTCTCTATAAACCTTGACTGCCTAAAATTATAATTTACTTAACGCAAAGTGAGGAATTAGTGTCTTCCTGGAGCATGGACAACTTACTGTCAAGTGCAATGCATCACATGTGCTTAGGAGGTTTGCTAGATAAGACAAGTGCATGTCTTCGAGCGTAAATCCATTTCTGCCATACACTGTAATTATGTGACAACATATATGCATTAAATAGTACATTCTCATCAAGTAACAAATTGTACCAGACTGCCTTATATTAATCAGGGACATTATTTTGAGACATTGGAGAAATAAATGTTTACTTAGATTACTTACTTACTTACTTAGAGTCCACAAAGTGAAGATTTCATTTAAAGGAGAACTATGGGGTCAGGGCTTGTCCCCATAGTTCTCCTTAGGGTAACGGGAGGACACAAACTAGCGTCCTCCCGTTACCCTAAGCTCAGTATACCGCGAGCTACAACTCGCGGTATACTGAGACGTCACAGCCGGAGCGGATGTCGAGATCCGCCCAGCTGCGTGAGTGACAGCTGGCTCTGCCTATATAGAGGCAGAGCCAGCTGTACCCTCCCCCGTCCGTTCTGCCAGTCAGCGCTATCGGAGCGGGGAGGGGGGAATCCAGCCCCTCCCCTGTCACGGCAGAGAGCCGTGACAGGATCGCGAGGTGAGCGAACGCCGGTATGTGTACACACAATTCCCAATCTACTGAGCCGACCTGTGATAGTCTCATTGTCACAGGTCGGCTAGAACTATGAGGTGAGTGGAAATCACTCATCTCATAGTTCTCCTTTTAACTTTTTGCTTTTTTTGATCAACATCCTTGAGTACAATGTAAGTAAAATGAAGACGCATCTAATGTAGTAACTGCCTTCTGGATATGGAATGTAGTATACACCTGTTCATTACGTAGACAGATGAAAGCAACTAAAGAGGGTAATTCAGAAAAGCAAGGCTTTTTATAGATGATCGTAGGCTATAGATGAATGAGTACCGCTGTTTATTTTGTGTGAATAGACCAACAATTATCCTTCTTGAAGGATTAGTAAATGTATCATTCCGATTTAATGTTTAGATTAACCTTTTGGAAAAAAAGGTTTTATGATACCCTGTGTGCACTTAGGGCTGATTATTACTGGCCGCACGTGTTTTTGCTGCACTTTCCAAGCCAGCATAATGTAAGGTTATGAGAAGATACATTGCACTATATTAGAAATCTCCAACAAGGTTTTGCAATTCGCGGCAACCGTATGGGGACCTTATAAACAAGCCGTAAAAGAACTTTAAAACAAATCTCCACTGACCTCTGTAACTTCAAGTACTGATAAGAATTTGAGGATGAATTTCTCTCTAGTGTCTGAAGCTGCGGGGCTTGTTTTATGACATGTTACAAATTTGTAAATATTTTTTTTTGTCCATAGCACAGGTCTAATTTCAGAGTTTTCAACAGTGGAAATAAAGTGCCGTTTGGGACATTTTATATATTTCTGACTTTAAACGTAGAAAGCTGTCTGTATTATGTAGCTGTTGACCCTAGTGTGGATGTTTTCCATATTTTAGATTAGGAACAATAGGAGATAAGCGATCTAATCAAAATATCACCCCCCCCCCCCCTTATCCTGCACCTCTATACAGTGAGGAAAATAATTATTTGATCCCCTGCATATTTTGGAAGTTTGCCCACTTACGAAGACATGAAAGGTCTATAATTTTTATCATAGGTGTATTTTAAGTGATAGAGACAGAATATCAACCACAAATCCGGAAAAAAACAATACAAATGTTATAAATTGAGTTGCAGTTCATTGAGTAAAATAAGTATTGGATCCCAAAGCAAAACATGACTTAGTACTCGGTGGGGAAACCCTTGTTGGCGAGCACAGAGGTGAGACGTTTCTTGTAGTTGGTTACCAGGTTTGCACACATCTCAGGAGGGATGTGTGCAAACTTGGTAACCAACATCTCAAGTGTCTGATGACATTATCAGGTGGTAACGAAAGATGTTTAGTACGCACATTCGCTCGGAAATGTAATGGTGTATGGTCATCTTTATGCTAAATTGCAAACTGGTAAATATGCAGTTAAAATACATATATGATAGCTGTTTTACATAGCCCTGCCCCCCAGGACAGCCAGGTTGGTGACCTTAGTTTTTCTCTGCCGTAGTTAATACAATATGTCTGTGGGTTGCTGTGAAATGCAGTGGTTGAAGTAAAATAGTGATTAAACCGGTTAGAAATGTTTTAATTTAATTTTTTTAATTCCTGCACCATAGAGCTGTGCTGATCTCATCCTTCCTTCCCTCTTCTTCCACCTCTATTGTCATATAGGCCGAGATGGTGGTAAGATTGCATTTGGGATTAGGACTTTAGCCAAAAATTATGGTCCTGATCTCAAATACAAAAAACTAAAATATAGCGCAAGTATAGCAAGTAAAAAAAAAAAAAGTGAGCTGTGTCCAAAATTTTTAGATACTTGTTACAATAACTTAGTATGTGTACTTACTAAAAATACACAAAACTTTCCATTTTAAATAAGCTGAACACGGCAAATGATAACATTTTATTCCTAGTTCCTAATTATTTTTCATGCTTCTGAACATTTTTCTTTTGATTTCCGTACTCTTGTGTCCTCAAGCGCTGAAAGCTACATGCTGCGCTTGTAAGTTTTTTTAAACTGAACAGTGCATGGGAGGTCACCATGTCGGCAGTAGTTCCTGACAGACATCTTTTGAAATGCAGATTACAGATAAATAGTTAAGTGCCACTTCAGGCTTCTATAACAGGACAAATAATTACCCTTCACTCGCCGAACAGCTCCGCAAAGAGGACTGATGGGATTATTTTTGTTCTGTTGTGCATGCCCATCGGGCCTCACCCGTGATGCTTCTAAATTGATGAGTTGCTGCAGCTGACAATCTAGCTCACCTTAACTTGTTGACTGGAATAGCTTTAAAATTACCCAACTTCAATTAAGTTAAAAGCATTTGTGGTCTACAGAGTGCAGCATATTTTAAGGATTTTTTTTTTTTGCATTCTGAAAACTGCTCATGTTGTATCCAAAGTAGCACTACCTATAGAGTCTTGGACAGACTATAAGCAGTGCTAAAGTACACAGCAGTATTAATATCTGCTACATTGCCTCCATATCAGGATCTGTTATTGATGCCTTTTGTCTGTATTACAGGTCACAGCCAATGATTTGCAAGAACATATAATAAAGCTGACAAACGGAGTGACATTTATGATAAAGCATTCACAAAAGCTTTTTAAGGTAACACAATTATGTTTTCGTCTTTTTTTTTATCTTTTTATTTTGATCTAATTTCAAAGCTATTAAATTTTAAGTTTGTGAAGTGTGCCAACACTATCACTTCGCTTTTCATTACAAAATAAATAAGGTTAGTGTCACACAATGTCCTATTCCTGTTTTTGATGTAAAGAGGAACTCCAGGAATCTAAAAAGTTAACGGGGCTAGCTCGCATTCCAAGGGTTTCCTGTTTATCTGTAAAAAATAAGTCGAGGCAACTGGACTTGCTGTATTTTTTTCTTGGACGTTTCACTGGACATCCTTGTGAATGACTTGTACAAACATTCTCTGGGAATAAATATGGTAAATGTTGCTCCAATCCACATAATCTGTTAGTCACAGCCAGGTGTTGATTGCATTTGCATAATTGGTGTCTAGGAGGTGTTATTAACCGTAAATGTTAAAACAGCATTGTATGGGGCAGACAATAGATGTCTCACCCCTGTTTGTTTTGGTCTAAGGACTACATATTGGTTTTATCAATTAACTAGACATTGCCTATTGATCTTTTACAGTATATTCAGCTTTTTTTTTTAAATACTGTAGCTACTAATAGTAGTTTATATACACAGATCAATACCTTTTCTTGATCAAATGGTCAGCAGATTCGAGCATCCTATTTTTTTTTTTTTTTTTTTTAATTTAGGTTTTAACATAAATACAGGGATATAAAACAAAAATAAAGTAATGAAATTAAATTGAACAATAATATAATCCAAAGAAAAGGGGGAAGGAGAAAAAAAAAGGGGGAAATCTTATCTCGTACTCATAGTCGTATTCACGGGAAATGAAGAACATCAGGAAGCGCGGCATCGCTCCTAGTTCTCTCGAGTATTTGCTAAAATAGTATTATGCAATCGAGCCGTTGGATATTCCAAATTATGGATATCATGAATCCTTTGCAATAATTCTTCATAAGACGGAGGTATAGGTTGTCGCCATTTTAAGGCTATAAGGCATCTTGCTGCAGTGAGGACATGGTTGATGAATTTGGTGGTAAATTTCAAAAAATGTGGAATAGGAAGGCCTAGAAGCAAATATACGGGGTCGTCTGGTATAGTCTTATCAATTAATCTTTGGAGCATAATCATTATAGACTTCCAGAAGGGACGTATCTTGGGACATTCCCAAAATATGTGGAGTAAGCTGCCCTTTAGTGTCATACATCGCCAACATGCTGGTGATAGCAAAGGATTCATATGATGTAGCAAATCTGGGGTACGGTACCAATGGTATATAATTTTGTACTGATTTTCCTGGTATAAAGTACAGATGGAGGTCTTACTGGCGTTAGTCCAGATATCCTCCCATTCCTCCATGTCCAGTGCCTAAAGCCCTCTCCCATCTACACATATAGTTATGCTTCGGGAAAGGAACAACACGAATAAAGTTAAGTAATTTATAAATCTTCTAAGCACAGTTTTTCAAATAGTGTTAATGGTGAAAAAATAAGTGAAGAGGAAACTGTGTATGCGAAATGTTTAAACTGGAGAAATGTAAAGAGGGATCTGTTTGGTAAATTAAACTGAGTTTGTAAAATCGGAAATGGCAGTAGGGTCCTGTCTACTTTGTCTATTATGTCTTTAAAGCGTAGAAGAGCTTGATCTGACCAAGGACAAGCAATATGTCGATTGAGTGTAGCCGGGAGAAGGGGCGTATATAAAAATGATCTCATTGGTGTAGTGGTTGAAGTAAGATTTAATTTAAAGCCTACAGAGTGCCAGATATCTTTAGTATGTTGCATGGTAAATAAAAGTGGGGGAACATGTGAAGGCTGAGGTCGGGCCATAGAAGAGAATTTAAATGTAGTGGTGAAATCCAGAGACTTTCTATTTCTGCCCATCTACTGGGCGGATTTAAAGATGACCAGGAAGCCAAGTGGCGTAGGTGAACAGCTAAATAATATTTGTGTATATCCGGAAACGCCAGTACGCCCTGCGATCAGAAGCTATTAACACCAATTTAGATTCGAGCATCTAAACATATTGAGTCAGCAGTAAAATACTGTAGGACATACTGGGTACGCCTGAGATTCTTTTATAACAAGAAGTATGTGATTATTAATGATGGGGGGGCTAAATAAAAGCTGAACACACTTGTTACAATCTTCTTTACATTTACCAACACTTCTATAGTGCAAGGGCCTACCTATACCAACTTTTTAGCCTACAACCAGTCAGGAATACACTCGCAATATATAGTTGTTTGTGCAATCTGCTTTAGATTTACCATCAGATTGTAACTTATGTGGACAGCTTAATACTTCCAACTGCCTTGAAGTAAACCTGTGGGCTTACTTTACCTTGTAAGGTGGTTTTAGGTATATAAAACTGGTACCTCCATGTGCCTGCTCACTGGCTCAGTTTATCTTCAGAGAACCTTTAGGGACACAGAACCCTAATTCTAATATGCAATTGTCTTTTTTTTTTTTTTTGGGTGGTTTGGGGATGGGAGGGATTTTGGTTAGTC